GAGAAAACAGTGCAACAATGAATGAATGAAAACCCAAAATCTCTGTGAATGTTCATTAAAACTAATAAAATTTAATAATAATAAAGAAAATCACTTACCAAAAAGAAAAAAAAACCAACCAAAATTTTTCTTTTCATCTTTTGAACTCTTCCCTTTCAAAGAGATATTATACAGTATTTTTATGTACTTTAAATAAAATTGGTTTTAAAGATTTATGAGCCTTTTAAAGAGACTTCAAAATACACTGGAACATTTAAAAAACCAGTCTAGAAACAATACACAAACTCCTGTTAAAAATCTGCTAGATATTGAGAATGCTAACTATTCAATAAATAATGTGATGCCCACCAATATCATTAAACATACCCTATGTCCCATTTTAATAACTTAACTCCTGAGAGTGATGTTCAAGTTCTATTAACAAACACTGAGGAATAATGACAATCACATATAAGGATGCTTTTTCATCATGTGCACTCAGCAACAGAGCCAGGGGACAATCTCATCCTGGAGAGTTTAATCACACTGCAACCAATGCAAATACCTTCTTTCCCTTCAAATGAAATCTTGCTCCTTACCCCGTGATTGTAAGAGGCGGGGTTTCCGAGATGAATGTTTGAAATGTGACTGGGTGGCTTCAGGATGAAGGTCAAAGCTGGAAGACTCCTGTCCTGGATCCAGAGGCACTATCCCCCTTGCAAGCATCTCAGGTCCATGAACTTGACCTGGCACCTAGGGACAGACATGTTAGGCCTTTGAGCAAACAGCTTCTCAAAGTAGACATTAAAATGTTAAGATGACAACATAAGAATAGCAGTTGATGGTGGAAGTGTGAAAGGATAGGGAATTATATATTTTAATATACAATATTTTAATATACGACGGAAGCAGGGAGAATATACAACATTAGTCACTTTCTCCCTGTTCCAGTATCACTGTCCACAACACTGTTCACACAAGAGCTTTCCACTCTTCTTACCTGCTGTCCTGATAAATCAAGCTCCAAATCCTCCAGCAGGGTCACGGCCTCCTCTCCACTATCAGGCCGGTATTCCTGCAGCCAGACTTGGAGCTCCTTTGGCAGAATGGAAAGGAACTGCTCCAGCACCAGCAGCTCTAGGATCTGTTCCTTGGTGTTTATCTCTGGTCGGAGCCACTGATGACAGAGCTCCTTGAGCCGACTGAGAGCTTCTCGAGGTCCAAAAGTGTTCTGGTAACAGAAGTGCCTGAAGCGTTGGCGAAAGACCTCTGGGTCAGGGGGAGGTGTTTCCTGTAAGCTGGAATCCTGCCCCCACATGTGGTCTTCCTCATCTTCCTCTTCTACCTTCACTATTACTATTCCTTCTTTCTCTGGCGTGGCCTGGGGCGACAGACCTGCAGCTTCCCGAGATTCAGCAGTCATCATTCAGAATTGATCCAAAAGGGGCTGTGCTCTCCTTTCTGTCCTGGGAGATGCTTTATGATATTCTTTCCTGTGACTAATAGAAGTATAAAAACCAGAAGATTATTCCTGCTGTAAAAAGTAACCTGTACTGCTAATACGTCATACAAAGCTAGACACCAAGGTGAATCACTAAGAGTGACCCTGAATTCTAAAGAAAAGAAATTATGAGTCGTATCGCTTGCATTGTCACTTTAAATACTAAGGTTTGCAAACAGCAACAGCAAACAGTTAAGTCTACTCACAGGGTGTCTGCCCTGACTCAGAGCACCTTAGCTCCAGGCAGACAGCAGGTCCTAAAGCCATGCATTTGCAGTACATGTATTTGCCTGCTGACAGCAGTCACAGTGGTGTCCCAGGCACCAGGCTTACAGCATACACACTATCTTATTTCATTGTCACAACACTGCCAGTTAGAAAAAACTCTTAATACCATTTTATAGATGATGTAACTGAAATTTAGAAAGTTTAAGTAATGTAACTGGCATCAAGTACCTAAAGGAGTCAACATTCAAGCCAAATTTAAAGCTCTGGGACGTGCTAATGTAGCAGCTTGTCATTTTTATTACTGAGCTCTGCTGGCCTAGTGGTAAGGAGCTATGTTCCCAATCCAAAGTGAATCCACAAGTTGTTTTGCAGGAAGAAGTCTCTAAAAATCCAGTGGAGGGTCAGTCATGAGTTGGTTCTGACTCCATTGCACATAACAACATTTTATTATTATTTTTAATTTTATACTGGTTTACAAAATTCGTATACATTATTTTTCACACTGGATCTTTCCTGTTTCCTTTACCCACCCCTCCCTCCACCCATTAAATTGTGTGACCCTATGATTAAGCCTCCTTCCTCCCTTTATTTTCTTTTTAAAAATTCATCTTTATGCATGTTTTCTTACTCAAGATCAATGACTACGACCTTCAATATGCATTACATCTCAGTATCAAGAAAACAAAATTCCTTATAGGATTTGACCAACAGACAGTATCATGATAGATGAAGGAAAGACTGACATTGTCAACAACTGCATTTTACTTGGATCCACAATCAACACTCATGGCAGAAATGGTCAGGAAGTCAAAAGGCGTGTTGTGCTGGGGAAATAATAAGCTGTTAAGGGTCACTTTTAAAGTGCCAGAGAGCTAGGAAGTCAGCTTAAAGACTACAGTGCATCTGAACCACAGCATGATATTGTCAATTTCTTCCTATGCATATCAAAGGTGGACAATGATTTGTGGTGTTGATGAAGAGTACTGATTACACCATGGACTGTCAAAAGAAGAAACAAATCTGCCTTGGTGCAACGTTTGTTAGGGGCAAGATTTCATTTCACGCACTTGCTGTAGGTTGCCAGGAGGTACCAGTCCTTGGAAAAAGACCTCATCTGGGAAAAGGAGGTTAGCGAAAGAAGACGATCTTCAATGAAACACAGTGACTGTCAAAATAGGCTCCAGCATAAAGAGATTTTCAAGGTGGTGCAGGATGGAGGAAATTTCTAATCTGTGGTTCACAGGGTCACTGAGTTGTAGTCAATTAACAAAAATTCTAGATTTTTTTGGTAAGGATAAATCTTCCAAACCACTGGTGGTTGTTATGTGCTGTTGAGTCATCAGTGACTCATAGCGACCCTGTGTACAATACCTCTGAAGCCTGCCTTATTCTGAGCCAGTCTGACTCCCAACACACCTACCCCCATTGCCCTAGTCACTGTGTCAATCCACCCATTACATCTGGAGTCTTCCTTTCCTGTGCTGTCTTCCACCCTTCTGATATCCTCCAAGCATTCTCCAAGCTTCAGGGCTACAGAAAATGGAAATGTACTAGGTGAATTTTAACAGCATAATTTAATGTAGTTGGAGGAGAGGACCGAGCATGAGACATTAAGTAGAACTGACAATGCAAATTTTCCCGTTGAATTTACAAATCTTAAGCAATCAAAACCAAGTATCAAAGTGAAGTTTTAGAAACACATTTTCCAACTAGTGCTGTATCACCATGCATTAACCTAAGAGTCACAAAATCACAAAGCATTTCTCTTTTTTTTTCTTGTTGTGTACCGTCAAATCAGATCCAACTGGCACAGGAGGAGATTGCCCTTCCTTCTCCAGTGAAGCATCTGGTGGATTTCAACTGTGTGCCTTCGGGACTGCAGCAGTTTCTTGCCACTAGTGCTCCCCCCAAAGCATTTTTCTATTATTTTGTGTGTATGTACCATCAATCAGATCTGACTGGTACAGGAGAAGATTGCCCCTCCTTCTACAGCAGAGCATCTGGTGAATTCGAACCGCCTACCTCTGAGATTGCAGTGTAGCTTCTTGCCACTAGGCCACCAGAGCTCCCTTTCCACAAAGCACTTTTAATCATATTTCTCACTTAACTATTTTGATCACAGCAAAATGGTTTTAATCTCAGATTCATCAGAGGCTCAGTTGTTCTCGCTCTTGTTTTTGCTTTAATGAGAAACATAAATCTTTGTTAAAACAATTATATTAAAAACCCCCCACTATACCCAAGGTTTTATATACATTTAAAGGAGATTTGGGAAGTGAGAAAATTTCTTTGTTGTTCTTATGCACCGTCTTGTTGGAACTGACTTATAGCTGACTCTCTGGTGGGTTTTCAGAGGCAGTAAATGGCATGAGAAGAGACTGCTCATCTTCTGCAGAGCAGCTGGTGGTTCCTGGACGACTTTGGGTTGGCAGTGCAACTCCTTACAGAAGTTCTAATGTAAACATGTTGTAATTATCACCACTGAACTAATGTGAACTCTTCTGTGTCTTACCCTCTGTGTCTTTTCAACTTCAGATAAGCTTTACCTGACATCCTTCCTTACTGCTACAATTTTCCATGAATCTCTTCCATGAATATTACTCACCCTGCAAAAGGAATCAAATCACTATTTCCCAACTATGCTTTTTATTTTCACTTTTATCCTTTCCTCAGACTCAATGTCTGGGATTTCTTTTCCAATTCTGCCTTTCCAAATTCTACTTAGCCTCCAGAGTGAAATTTAAATGTCACTTGCCCCTTAATGTTTACTATGTGCTTTCTAGGTACCAGGTATTATAGTACTATAACCTTCTTAGGAAGTAAGTGCTACTGTCATTCTCCTAATGAAAACTGAGGTTTACTGACATCAAATAGCTTTCTCAACTCACAAAACAAGTACATGATAGAAGTAGGATTTAATATTAAGTCTGTGAGACTCCTTACATGCAAGTCTTTTTAACCACCATACACACTCATTCTGTAGCCAACGCATGCGGTACGGAAAGGGTTCCTCACATACAGATTCTTTTTAAAATGAAGACCTATTAAAGCTGACATGTCAGGCAGGCCTGCAGCCTCATGTGCTAACCAGCATTTTCACCGGAGAGCTGGATGACTGTGAAAGTGAGGACACACAGCAGGAGCTGCAAATTGAGATCATCTAAAACTTAAAATAGGCGAGATTTTCAAAGAGGATAACTGGATAGAACTAGCATGGAAGCTAGTCTCACATTACAAATCCACTTCCGGGAACATTTTATTCTGTCTCAGCTACATTGTGGAGAACTCAGAAAAAAGGCACTTTGATGTATGCCCAGACTTAGATGCTCCGTGAGTCAGTAGGAATCAACAGGAAGATGAAATGAGACCCAAAGAGAGGAATGAATGTTGGGCTACTAACCAAAAGATGGATGGTTTGAATTTATCTGTGGATCCAGAGGAAAAAGAGGCTCCTGTTAAAATTTACTCAGAAATCTGATGGAGGGTCACTATGAGTTGGACTTAACTGTGGATGTACAGAAAGAGCTACTTATGAAGGCTTGTTGGTGTAGTGGTTAAGTACTCTGGCTGCAAACTGAGAGGCTGGCAGGTTTGAACTCCCCACCTACTACACGGACTCAAAGAAAATAGCAGTCTTCTGTAATGATCACCATCCTGGAAACCCTACAAAGCAGTTCTAGTCTGTCCTATAGGGTCACTATGACTGACTCTACAGCAATGGGCTTTAATAAGAAGCTACTGTATTTTTCAAGAAATTTAAGATGTCTAACTGAAATTTTTTATTTTCAGTCTGCTTAAAAAATTAAGCAATGGGAGAAATCATGTACATGGAAGCCGCAGGGACATCTGAACTCTAGTCTTCTACAAATAAGTCTCACATTCCTGAGGTTATTTAATCTCTCTGGCCCTGGATGCCTTTATCTGTCACACTGAGGATGGGGTGGGGAGGAGATTGAGGCTGGATTGGAGGGGTTATGAAACTACCCCTAGGTTCCCTTTAAGCTGAAAAACAGAAAGCATTCTGACATTGGATCAGTTTTAGATAAGATTATCCCCAGCAACCACTCCTCATCAAGAATAAATACAAATGATTTTCTTACAGAAAGGGCTTAGAGTTACAAGCTCAGTTTATTCCAAGGACTATTTTCTCTTCCAACACCTCTAACAGGTACTTCCAACAGTACCTCTCCCAAAGTGTGACAGGGCAAGTTTAATGAACTCATAGCACTGCAACTTTTTAAAAAACAGAGCTATAAAATGTTTTAAAGCCTAAAATGGATTTTTTAAAAGCTATCTTTAGAAGACACCTACCTATCTAAAGAATACTGGTACTGCCTAGGAATGAAAAGGTAAGATAAAACATAACTAATATCAGTACTTAGATGCAATATAAAATGTGAGACTTTCAAAACTCATGATGGGAAGAAAGTGGGTGAAATGATGAATAAGAACATGGTAATACAGAGTCAATACAAAACTGGAGTAACATTCTGGGGCAAATTCTTATTTTGGATGCCTGGGCATTAAAGCTATTTCTGCACATTAGGCTAGCATACAGTACACAGAACTTTGCTGCAGGTTACAATGACTTCTACCACAATTCAAGTCTACAAGTATTTACTGAAGGCCTCCAATCCGCCTAGCACTGGCCTGTACAATAAATGCTTTCTTTGGTCGCAGGCCATGAAACAACCACT